TTAGCAAACCGCTTTGGGAACTAAGTTGAAGCTGAGTTCAGCTTATCATCCACAAACGGACGGTCAATCAGAAAGGACAATACAGTCATTGGAGGACCTTTTGAGGGCATGTGTCTTAGAACAACCTGGGAGTTGGGATGGCATGTTGTCGTTGATCGAATTTACCTACAACAATAGCTTCCATTCGAGTATTGGGATGGCACCTTATGAGGCGTTGTATGGTAGGAAGTGCCGAACTCCAGTGAGTTGGTTTGAAACTGGGGAGAACTTGATATTGGGGCCCAAATTGGTTTAAGAGACGACGGAAAAGATCAACAAAATCCGGGAGAATATGAGAATCGCCCAGAGTCGGCAGAAAAGTTACTACGATAAGAGGCGGAAACCTCTTGAATTTAAGGAGGGAGATCATGTTTTCATGAGAGTAGTCCCGACTACCGGAATTGGTAGAGTGCTGAAATCTCGTAAGTTGACTCCGCGATTTATTGGGCCTTATCAAATACTGAAGAGGATTGGGCCGGTAGCATATCGTATTGCCTGACCACCGTTGCTGTCAAATCTCCAAAATGTGTTTCATGTGTCTCAGTTGAGAAAATATGTTGGAGATCTATCTCATGTGGTTGAGTCGGACCAGATAGAGTTGAAGGATAACCTGACTTTTGCAACGTTGCCTGTGAGAATCATGGATACCAGTATCAAAAGGTTGAGGGGCAAAGAGATTCCTTTGGTGAAAGTGTTGTGGACCCAAGTGGACGAAGGAGACGCTACTTGGGAAGTTGAGCAAGAAATGAGGGAGAATTACCCTCATTTGTTTGAACCAAGGTATGTTTAATTTTCGGGGACGAAAATTCTAATAAGAGGGGGAGGATTGTAACACCCTAAATTTCTTAAGCCTTTAAAATTATAGTATCAGTCCTGAGACCCTCGCTTGAGTGAGAGATTCTCGCTTGAACGAGAGAGAGACTCACCTAGGAGGGTGAAATATTGGGCTATACTAAAGGATCCTCGCTTGAGCGAGAGATTTTCGCCTGGGCGAGAGAGGCTCACCTGGGAGGGTGAAATATTGGAGTATACTGGAAGATTCTCGCCTGAGCGAGAGTTGTCTCGCTTGGGCGAGAAATATCATTTTGGGCTGTTGGCACTGTGAGATTCTCGATTGAACGAGAGGGTCATATTTGAGTTTTTAAAATGGGTGGGATTTTCTCGCTTGAGCGAGAATCCCTCGCTTATGCGAGAACCCGACGAGACAGCATTTAATGAGAAACCCCTAAACACAATCTAGGGTTTAGAAAAGAAGAAGAGTGAGAGAAGAGAGCTTTTCAAGGACAAAAAGCTTGGATACTCATCTAAGAGCTTGAGAAGAGGTAAAACTCTAGATTCAAACTCTCTTTTTCTCTTTAAAACCTATTTTGGGTATGTTAGATCTCTTCACAAAAATTGAGGAAACCATGGAAACTCATCCTTTTGAGTGATGATTCATTTTATGTCATTCTTACCTTGTAAACTCTTGGTTTATAGATAGTATCTCAAGAATGTTAAGGGTTGTGGGTTGATTCATGAAAACCTCAAAAAAACCCTAAAAGTGAAAATTTGGTAAAATGAGAGAATGAGTAAAATGCTAGAGGTAGAAGACGAGTTTACCCTCAAATATTGGGATATGAGATGATTATGCATGTTTTAGATGGTTGAATACTTATGATGAATATTTTGTATGAGTAAATGATGCAATATAAGTTGTTTATGCGATATATGGAATAAATGACTAACATTGTGTTATGTGGTGGGATGAGGAAAGATCCTAAGGTTGGAGGCGGTGTCGGTGGAACTTGAGAAGTTGCCAAGAACCAAGATAAGGATAAGTCTTTAATTGTGTGCATTTGGAATCGAAAATGTGTACTTTCTGATTATGCGATGATCGAGATGTAAAGTACGCCTTTAGTATAAACATATATGGGTGTGTTTATATTAAAGTAGGCGTAGATTTACGGAAAGGAAAGTATGTTGTACTTTTGGTTATGTGATGATTTGAGTTGTGAATCACGTATTTAGTATAAACATATATGGGTGTGTTTATACTAATATGGGCGTGGATTTAACGGAAATGTTTTATGGTGAAATTGATTAAAAGGAAATACATTTTTAGCCGACCATGAATGGTTAGCGACTCTGGCTTGAGTATATAAGCAAAACTCTGGCTTGAGTATATAAGCAAAACTCTGGCTTGAGTATATAAGCAAAACTCTGGCTTGAGAATATAAGCAAAACTCTGGCTTTAGTATATAAGCAAAACTCTGGCTTGAGTATATAAGCAAAAACTTTGGCTTGAGTATATAAGCATGTTTTATTTAAAATGGAAATTAGAATCTGCTTTTAGCTAACCCCGAGGGGTGTAGCAACTTTGGCTCAAGTTATGTAGCAAAGTAAAGTGAATTTCAAAAATGGTTTACTAACCCAATTTCTAAATGTGGATTATCTTATGATGATGTTTATTTGAATTAACGACTTACTCCTTTGTATGTTTTGTACTGGTCGTCGATAATCCTATTGCAGATAAACAAGTGACATGAGGGGGACTCATTTTTGGGGAGTCTTAGGGAGCTTTACATTTTGGATTCATTCACATGCACTATTTGTACATGAGTGCATAGTTGATATTTTGAAATATGATGTAACTAACGATATAGATATATTTGTAAACTTGAGACTGTAACTCTGGATATGTGTAGCTATGGGTATATTGGAAACCCATAGCTAGTTATATGTGGTGGTTACAAGGTTTAATTAATGTGAATTATGTTTTTCTGTTGAACGATCTTGTATATTAATAATGAGATAGATTGCGAAGAGGGAAATAAGATTTGAAGTAAAGACACTAAATTGGGGATGTGAGATAGGAGAGATTGCATGTAATTGAACTAATGTGAGAAAAAAATTTCAATGGTAGAATTTCGGACTTTACAGCATTAGTTACACCATAAGGCATGACCAAATACTCAAAATGCCCATACCTTGTCCTAAAAGCAGTTTTAGGAATGTCTTCTGACTTCACCCGAAGTTGGTAGGATTCCGTTTACAGAACTCATTCAATCCTCGGTACTCGGCCAGCTCGGGTGGGTCTAAAGGTTGCAAGCTAGGACTTGGTGTTGTGTTCTGGTTCAGGCTATGCAAGTTCTCATTCACTTGTTGCAGTGCAGCCACCATCTGAGCCAACAGATCATTCAGAACATTCTGATTCGTTCCTCTCCCTCTTCCAGCCATTTCTTAACCTGCACTCATTGGTGGTTAGCATACAATTTGAACTCACATAATTCAGGTTATCACATAGTCTCATAGTACGTTACATGTCACTGCACCAAGGCTACATGATTTAAACAGTCAATTCACATAATTTCAACTAGTTACCCATTCCCACATGTATTCTTTCGTTTAAAATATAAATTTTAAACACCCGGTGGCTTAACTTTGGTTACCCATTAATTATTTCTCAATTTCTTTAACATGCAATATTACTACACATACTCATAATGCAGAAAAACATAATTCATTTAAATAACTCCCCATGAGTGCAAAGTATCAATAGTTATGGTTCTCAAAACCGCAATACTCATGGTTACAAACATTCAAATCCACAATTAGTCAGTTATAGTACAAAAAGGCGTAAACAAAAGAATTCGGATTTTAAAGCTCCTAAAGCTCCAAACCAAGTATCCTCAATTTACTTGTTTACCTGCAATAGAATTATCAATAACAAATACACAAAACATACAAAGGAGTAAGTCATCAATTCAATAAATATCATTATAAGATAATCCACATTTTTAAAGGAGTTAGTAAACCATTTTAAATTCATTTTCGCGACATAACTTGAGCCAAAGTATCGCTACATAACTTGAGCCAAAGTATCGCTACATAACTTGAGCCAAAGTGTCGCTAACCAATCTTGGTCAGCTAAAAATATGTTTTCTTTTCAATTGATTCACCATCAATTCATAAACAGCAATTCCACGCATTCTCTCAATACGATATGCTAGTTAAAGACTTATCCTTACATTGGTAAGTGTTGGGTTTGGTCCTTGGTATCTTTGCAAGTTCCTCCAACATCGCCTCCAACTTTAGGATCCTTCCTCATTCCCACCACATATTCATCTTATATTCAACATTAGAGCATATACTCATCTTCTACATCTAACATTTCACCCATTTCCTTCTTTACTCATATTCTCATGTTGGGGGTTTTGGGGTTTTCATGAATCAACTCTAAATCCCTTTCTATTCTTTAAAATACCAACTCTAAACCAAGAGTTTAGCAGAGAGAAATCAAATATAACGAACCACAACTCAAAAGGAAGAGTTTCCATGGTTTCTCACATTTTGAGAAGAGATCCCATACACCCAAAACAAGTTTGAAAGGGAGAAGATGAGTTAGAATCAAGAGATTTACCTCTTCTCAAGCTTCTAGATGATTCCCATGAGTCCTTGCTCTCAAAATCACCTCCTTCTCTCTTCTCTCTCAAGTTCTAACCCTAAATGTGTTTGAGGGTTTCTATTTTAAAGTTTCAGCGTCGGGTTCTCGCTCAAGCGAGCCCATTCTTGCTCAAGCGAGAATATCCCGCCTATTTTGAAAACCCAACACTGATGCTCTCGCTCAAGCGAAGATCGTTCAGTGTCCACTCCCTCTCCCTCGCCCAGCCGAGCAAACTCTCGCTCAAGCGAGCCTTCTCTCGCTTAGGCGAGCCACATCTCGCTCAAGCGAGGCCCCCAAATAAAATCCTATGAGAAATACTGACACTCTCACTTGGGAGAGGCTCCTCTCGCTCAAGCGAGAATCCTGCAATATACTCCAGATTTTCCTTTGTTACAAAGTTTTAGGGTAATTAAACTTAGGGTGTTACAAAGGTCCTACATTAGATTGGTTATATTACTTGGCTCCTGGTTCCATTGCAATTTGGGATGACACGAAGAGGGCATTCCTTTGTAAATTCTTCCTTGCCTCCAGGACCTCTACCATCAGGAAAGATATTTCAGGAATCAGACAGCAACATGATGAGAGTCTATATGAGTACTAGGAGAGATTCAAGAGATTTTGTGCAAGTTGCCACCATCATCAGATTTTCAGAGCAACTCCTCCTTCAATATATATATGAGGGTCTAAATAATATGGAAATTAGTATCATTGATGCTGCTAGTGGAGGTGCATTAGGAGACATGACCCTTTTTGAATCCAAATAGTTTGATTGAGAAGATGGATTTCAACTCTCAAAAATTCAATGCAAGGAGAAATAAATCTATTATTATAGGTGTTCATGATGTTGGTACTGATTCAGTGAGGAAAGACAAGCTTGAGAGAAAAAATGTTTCCCTCACCACATTGTTCACTCAATCAGCCATGAATTAACAGAAATCTCCACTTGCAAGAGGTTGTGGCATTTGCACCTCCATAGATCATTACATTGATGTTTGCCTTTCTCTACTTGAACCAAGAACTGGTGAGTGTCCCGAGGCTTATGCTGCAAACATTTACAACAATAGACCTAACTAGCAACAACAAAATTATGATCCATCTTCAAGCAGATACAACCCTGGTTGGATAAATCATCCAAACCTGAAGTGGTTTGATCATTGACAACCTCCTCATGCACCATTTTAGAACATCAATGATGGACCATATGTGCCCCCACCAAATCATCAACAGAGGCAGCAACAAGTGATTAATAATCCTCCACCTCCACCTAGTGAACCATCATTGGAAGAGTTGGTGAGGAAGATGACCATGCAGAACATGCAGTTCCAGCAAGAAACTAGATCTTCCATTCAAAGACAAGAGTCTTCCATTCTGAAATTGACCAGCTAGATAGGACATATGGCAACTTCATTGGACACATTGCATTCTCAAAATTCTGGCAAGTTACCTTCCTAGACTATGGTTAACCCAACGAATGTGAGTCCCATCACCCTAAAGATCAGGCAAGCAGACTGAATTGCCCACACTTAAACTAGATTCTGATTGAGAAAAGAAATGAGAACACTACCATAAAAATTCATACAAGTCAACCTTCTTCTAGTGTTACACAACAACCATTTTCCATTCCTCTTCCATTTCCCCCAAAAGTTATTCCAAGCAAGAAGATGGAGAATATGGAAGAGGTAGACAAGGAGCTCTTGGGCACATTTAGAAAGGTAGAGGTGAACATACCACTACTTGATGCCATCAAGCAGATTCCAAAATATGCAAAGTTCGAAAAGAGGTGTGCACTCACTAAAGGAAGTTGAAGGGTAATGAGCGGATCAGCATGGGCGAAAATGTATATGCACTCATAGGTAAACTTGTTCGTCACATTCCTGAAAAGTGTAAGGACCCTGGTACATTTATTGTACCTTGCGTCATAGGAAATATAAAATTTGAGAATGTCATGCTTGATTTAGGAGCTTCAATTAATGTTACACCTTTGTATGTTTTTAAGTCCTTTTCACTTGGATCTTTGCAACCTATGGGTGTTGTGATTCAATTAGCTAATACGAGTACTACGCATCCTGCTGGTTTGATAGAGGATGTCTAGGTTCAGATTGGTCAACTCATTTTGCCTGCTGATTTTTATAAACTTGATATGGAAGATGGATCCTCCCTTAACACAATTCCTATTATTTTAGGGAGCCCACTTTTAAGTACAGCTCGAACCAAGATAGATGTCTAGGCTTGGACACTTTCTATGGATTTTGGTGATTAAGTGACCCGATTTAATATTTTGGATGGTATGAGACATCCATCCGAGAACCACTCTGTGTTTCATGTTGGTTTTCTTGATGAGTTCAATAATCCGCATATCTCCAATTTTCTTCATGATTTTCGTTCTCCATCATTCACAGACTCATACACTTGTCATGAATGCACTGATTCTGAAATATGTAGTTCTTGTATTGATGAGTTTTTCAAAAAGATGTTAACAGGATTGTTGGGTAATCGATTACCCACTTGCAGTAATCGATTACTGAGAGTTGTTGTATCAGTTTTCAGATTTCAAGTGAAGAGTTTTCACTCCAAACTGATTGCTTTTCATTCCAAACGAAACCTACTCATACCTAGGGGTATTAGGATTGATTGGAAGCCTATATAAAGGCACTGAAACACTCTCACAATAACATACAAACAACACACAACTCAGATTTCAAACTCTCTTTAAAAGCTCTCACACTTTCTGATTTTACTTACACTTTTCAAGCAACCTACTCTTAAACTTTCAAAGTTATTTTGAAGTTGCTTCTAAGTGTTTTTCATATTGTTAAAGAGCATTATTATCTCAAGTATAAAGAGTTGTTATTGGATTACAAGTTATAGAAATTGTCATATACACTTGAAAGGCAATCCAAGCCAAATTGTACATTCTTCACTTTTGCAAAGTTTACTTTCTTTCACGAGGGTGTGAAGAGAAAGGGTGAGTGACTTGGTATGGTGTTTACCAAGGATGTGACTTGGAATATAGTTTTTCAAGGGGAGTAGATATAAGTGAGTGTGTAAGGTACAAGGAGATCTCGGGGTGAGATAATTGTAATTGCAACTCATTATATTTAATAAAGGAATCTCTTGCGTGTCAAGAGTACTGGACGTAGCCTTCGGTGGACAAGAAGGTGAACCAGTATAAAACACCTGTGTACTCTTTTTCCCTTCTCTTTGTTAATTTTTTATCTTTCCTAAGTCAATATTTTTCTGCATAATATTTCCGCTGCACATTAATTTTGATATTGCAGAAAAATTGGCCATACTTATTGCAACAACTAATTCACCCCCCTCTTAGTTGCAATCTCATTCTTACATTAAATGACTTACTCCTTTGTATGTTTTGTGTGTTGTCATTTGATAATCCCATTGCCGGTAATTGGATGAATTAAGGACGCTTGATTTGGAGTTGTAGGAGCATTTAAATATGGATTCCTTTATTTTCACCTTTTTGTATCATGATTGAATATTTTAGGATTTGAGTATTTGTAACCATGATCATACAATTTTCGGATAATTGTAACTCTGGATATTTATAGCTATGAGTATTTTGGAAACTCATAGCTAGTTGTATGCGGTAGTTACCGGGATACATTAATATGAATTATGATTTTCAATTAAAAGAACGTGTATGAGGATATTGCGTTATGAAATGAGTATGAACTGAAAAGTGGGATTAAAATAAAGTTGTTGAATTTGTGATTCTAAGTTATAGGAAAAATGTATGTGAAAGGAATAAAATAAGGAAAAATTTCAAGTTAAGAAATTGGGTCCTTGCAATATGGTATCAGAGCATAATTAATCATGCGGCCTAGGGTATGGCCTTAGGTGCTTCTTTATGACTTTTGTGTTATTGAATTAAGTGGTTTGTACAAAGTGTTGAGTGATCTTATGAATCTTGTCTGGTTAAAATGTTGATATACTGACAAGTGAATGAGTACAGGTACACATGGCTGGTAGAGGAAAAGGAACGAGTCAGAATGTTCCAAATAACCTTTTGGCTCAGATGGTAGCGGCACTACAACACGTGAATGAGAACTTGCAGAGTCTGAATCAGAACACAGTACCCAGTCTGAGTTCGCAACCTTTAGTCCCAACCGGACCGGCTGAATACTGAGGTCTGGATGAGTTCTGTAGGAGGAACCTTAGTCAATTCCAAGGTGGATTCGCTCCTGATGCTACCATTGAAGGGGCCAAGGATTGGAAAGGATCTTCAGGGCCATGAGCCGTTCCGATGCTCAGAAAGTGGCATATGCCACTTATATGCTAGTGAAGGAGGCTGAGAACTGGTGGGAAATGGTCTGAAGACAGATGGAGACCGAGGGACAGATCATTACCTGGGAGTCCTTCAAGAGCAAATTCCTCCAGAAATACTTCCCTGCAGATTTGAAGAGGAAGAAGGAAGTGGAATTCTTGCAACAAGAGCAAGGGAGTTTGGCAGTATGGGAGTATGCAGCCAAGTTCGAGGAATTGGCCCGGTATTGTCCATATGCCGAACTTGAAGTGGACGGAAGGTCCAAATGTGTCAAGTTCGAGATGAGCCTGAAACCGGAATTGAAGGTGATATTTTGCCACTAAGAGATTTCTGACTTCCCTACACTGGTGAACAAGTGTAGAATGTATGAGGATGATGTGCGAGTGAGGGACGCTAAAACTCGTAATGTGAACCCTCCCCGAAACTATGGGCCTCAGCGCAACTTAGTGCAAGGAAGGGGTAAGGAGAAGATGGTTGAAGACCGACGACCTTATGGTCCACCTAGCAACCATCGCACTCGTGGTCCTCAAAGGCCATCCACCACTAATGCTACTGGAGGATCAAACTCCTATCCTATGTGCAACAAATGTGGTCGGGGACACTATGGCAATATTTTCCTGGGATCGGGAAATGGATTCTTCAATTGTGGAGGACAAGGACATATCAAGAGGTATTGTCCCAAGTTACGATAGAGTATGAATGTTGTGAGGGCTGAACAACCTCGATCAACCGATAGAGTGTTTACCATGAGTGGTGCAGAGGCATCAGATGTTGATGGTCTGATCCAAAGTTAATGTATGGTGGCATATATTCCTCTTTTAGTGTTGTTTGATTCGGGAGCGACACACTCCTTTGTTTCTGTTGAATGTGTGGACCGACTGAAATTGCAAACAGAGTCGTTGCCTTTCGACTTGGTCATATTCACCCCGACTAGTGTGCCGGTGATGGTGTCGACGTTTGTGTCCCAGTGTACAATAGTGATAAATGGTAGAACGTTTACCGTGGATTTAATCTTCTTACCATTGTCCCAGTTCGATTTAATTTTGGGAATGGACTGGTTGTCAGCAAATCGTGTTATGTTTAATTGTGTTGATAAGTCTGTGGTGTTTGGAAATCTATGTGAGATTTCTGACCAGGTTAGTTGTATGAAGCCAATGTCGGCTAAGGGAGTCAGGACTTCCCTTAGGGAATGGGGATCAGTGTTTGTGTTGTTCGCATCAATGGAGAGTATTGAGAAACCCAGCATTGATGATATTCCGATAGTCCGTGAGTTTCTTGAGGTATTTCCTGGTAATATTATGGAATTGCCTCCAGTCAGAGAAGTTGAATTCTCTATTGACTTAGTGCTGGGAACGGGACCCAT